GGAAACCATTAGACAAAATTCTACACAGCTTTTGACAGATTCCTCCCTCTTCCTCTATCCATCCCCTTGAAGCAGGACCCAGTGGGTGTTTTGTCTGCATCAGATTTACAGTAGATCTAAGTACCACTGAACTCAACCTGGCCAGCTAACTGGAAAACGTTCCGTACATTATGAGGCCCACAGTGAGTGCTATCATCACCTCAACACTGAATGAGTACTGAAATGACATAGGTGAAACAGATGCTGATGTGTTGAGGGATAAATCCTCTGCAGTACAGGACATGCATAAACAGGCACAAGTCTCATGTTTTCAAGGCCGTAAAAACGGTGGTCCAGGGCTTACATTACTGAATGACATGAGTGAGGAAATGGGCAAGGAAAAAGTTGAACATTAAGCTACACATTTGGCTCAAACATGGTCATTTGAGAATACATTTTATGCACCTCAAATATATGCATGTATGTGTTCCATTTACACACAGGCATACCTCAGCTTGCATTTTTACAGAAACATACTGTACAACATTAAGCATAACTCACAGCCCACACTGTTCGCATAAATCTGACTGTTATTACACTTTATAATGGCCTAAACCTGGAAGGGCAGGGCTTTCATGACATTCAATAAAATGCAGAGAAAACTGCTGCTGTTGTGCTGGATTTGGGACAACTACATCTTTCACAGGCAGTTTTACATCTGCTGTGTCTCTAATCTCATTTGACCTTTGGCTTCTGGCATGGATCAGTGAAGAGCTATATGCTCTGCGCATATTGGCCTGTCCACTAAATACAACCCATTATATTAATCCCTCATCACTCCAAGGCCTTTGTGTCTCAACAGGTGAACAAATGGTCTTGAACTTTGCAACAGCAGAAAGACTTTATACTTTGGCAGAGATACCATGACAGACTCTGCAAATACTGAGAGAGAGAAACACTATGCCTGACAAAAGTAATGTCTAGAGTGACAATGTGAACAACTGTCTGGCATTATTAATGACAAAAGATTGAACCTCCAGTGCCATAAGCAGGTTTGTGATTTTGAGTGAACTACTATTAGACAGACTGCCACAAATTTCTCTACAGAAATGCATTTTCCCACAGGATGAATTGTAATAACTTTGGTGATTCCCTGACTTTTCATTTAGTACCACAAGCCAGTCTAATTTAAATTTTTCTATTTATTATTGGGGTTTTTTCAGTCCAATACTTTTCTTACCAAAACTAATTACATTACAATTATTCCTTAACACTAAATAGCAACTGTTAGCAAAATAGTACAATTGATAGATATTTCTTTTTGCTATGTTGCAGATAGGTGTGTCTGATTAGCCTGGATAAATGTAATGTATTTGCTTTAATGGGAACACACCTCATTAGTATTCAATTTGGGCAACTTTTAAAAGACTCCATAAAATTTTCTCAACATTTAGATGGAAATATAACTAATAATCCCCCATCGTGTATTTCTCATGTTGGAGATCTGTCATAAATCCCAGTCCACCCTTCAGATTCCAGGCAGTCTCACTTTCCACTGTGACAGTTTGAGGTGTTTTACAGTATATGGACAGTCATACTCACAATCTTGAAATGCCTAGTTGTGAAGGCCTCTGTCCTGGCCTTCACCATGTTAGGGCCTAAACCACCACCAGCACTGGACTTGGGTGAGTAATTCCTTTATGTGTCTAGGTTAAGTTGTAGATAAATATTTTTTGATATTATACATAGAAAATGGGAGAAAGTTATTGTTTATTTGTTGGTAGTTTATGTTAGAACTTTATTTGTCAACTTGATGTCAGATGATAAATGACTTGCTGAAGACAAAACCCCAGAGATGGTATCTAGATGTATGCTGTGATATTCTCTTGCATATCGCATTTTATAAATTACACAAATGGCCTGGCTAGTAGATGTGTGCCATCAGCAATACATCATTATAACTAGCATATTGTATGTGTTTTGTCACTAACGTGACACACACACACACACAACTGTCCATTCATGCTTGGCAATGGTAAGCAGTGATATCCCGTCCAATGCAGCTGGTGTGCAGCCTCTAGGCAGCCCTGTGCTTAGGGAGGGAAGCCTGGTTTGATTATAGTCCAGGGCAAAGTC